GGCGCCGTTTTTCCATTTCCAGTTTAGACCTTGAGGACCTCAGCTTCCTTTGATGCATATCTCTGGTTGTGGCAGTCACAAGCTTCATAACTTGGTCTTCCCCATTATCATGCTCAAGGCCGAACAACTTTCCCATTGATAGACTTGCCTCCTCTAAAGAGCCCGCATCGAAAGGATGGACATCGAGATTAACGGATGGTTCTTGGCTGTCCGGAACACAAGATGGCGAGGGTAGATCCAAATCACTCCACTCTACGGAATCATACTCAGCCACAGGAGAAAAGAGGTGACTGTTACTTCCCAGGGCAGAGGCAAATGTTCTATCCGGGGACCCATCGCACTCTGGTAAATCGATCGAAATTGGGGGATGCCATGTCGAAGGGGAGGAGATAGTTTCCACAGGGACATCGATGGATTGCCACACGATGCGGGTGAACGGCGGGAGGCCAGAGAGACAGAGATTGGCTGTGGGCTTCAGATCCGGGTGAAGGGCTAAACTTGAAAGAGATCGCCAACTGGACTTAATGGGCTGTGGTGGGCTAAAGATGATACAAGACATGATGGATTGCAAATCGGGCCTAATCTGGAACGCCCTGGGGACCGAGCCTAAATCCATCTCCACCACAAAAGAGTTGGGCTTAAACAAGCCAACCGGATTGATGCTGGGCCCGAATTTCCTTACCCATTTGATCTGCAGAGAAACCGCAGACAACCCGCCGCCCTTAACAACCCTAGACATATCACCAGAGGCATGCACATTCATGCAAATAGCCTTTTCATGATGAGGTTCGGTGTTCAACGTGAGGCTCTTGGACTCCCTCCCAGCCTGGCGAGAGACCGCCCCAGCCTCGTGCCTCCTCTCCGATTCTCGGCTAACCAACTCCCTCCCCTGCCTTCTGCTGAACGGAGCTCCACTTCCCACCGTTCCAGAAGCCGGCATCACCAAAACTTTAATGTTGAGCCACTCTGACTCGTGCAGCAACGGGATCTCTGCCGGGATTTCCTTGCGAGTATTAACCCTAATCCGGACAAAGGGGGAGCTCCACGAGTTCCAATCGACTTCCACAAATTTTCCACAGAAATCTCCGATGGCTTTGAATAAATTCACACTCTTAAGGTGAAGCGGTATATTGAACACCACTACCCAAAGGTCCTCCGGCGACGGTCGAGGAAAATTGTCCTCCCAAGGAGCAAGACTAACCCGAAAGCTCCTGAACTTGTGATGGTCCAATACCCTGATTCTTAAAGCTTCCTGCAAATTGGGGCAAACCAACAACCACCTGCCATCTCCCAAGTCGTTGAATCCAAAGTTGTCGTCTGTTGCCCAATGCTGTTTAGCCCACAACCAAAATTCGCCCACCATGCTCGCCGTGAACACCTCAGAAGACGATTGAAAACCCAGCACAAGGCTTCTTCCCAGCAGGCTGCGTCTCTCAGAAACACCTGTCTTCCCGACTTCAATGAACCGCCGACCACCGTTGCTTTTAACCGCACACATGCCGGCTCCGTAGAAACCACTACCTTTAACAACTTCAGCATAAGACCTGGAAGCTCTCGCTGGAGATGGATTGGGAGGCGCAATGGGGATCTCCTGCTCCAAACGAAGGTTCAGCTCCAACTCAGCCCTGTAAAAGTCCTGCAGAAGAGTGATGACAGCCGCCCACCCTTTCACTTCTCCGTTCGAAGGGACCAGGATTTTGAAAATCTTCCCACTCTGAACCCGCTCCGAGACCTGAAGATGGGTACTTCCTCTGAAGGAGGTGCGACCGACATGGATCGTACGCGCGCCACTCTTTTTGATGCACCCACCCGGGAAACGCCACCCTCTCCTGGCTGCCGTCTGAAGCACTCCTTGAACCCAAGATAGCAAACTGATATCGAGGATGACGAACCATCTTCTATCCCCCTCTTGGACCTGTAGTTTATACCATATGGAGTCCCCCTGTCGACTTCTGCTGATAGACACGTCCTTCCTTCCCAAGCGAGTTAGCCGCAAGCAGATTCCCTCCGCGAAGCCGCCGTCACCGCCGCGCCCAGCTGCTCGGTACCTGCAAACATGAGACACACTGGAAGAGCCATCGAGACTCTTGGCCTTCTCCGATTCAGAATCACTCCCCGACTCTCGCACTCTTCTAGAATTTCTCTCTCTAAATTTCTCTCTCATCTTTACTTGTTCACAAGTCGAGGTTGACAAGAGAGGTCAAGTTCCCCCTGATTTGATGGTATCCAAATAGAAGATCCAAATTATTATAGTACTAAGAACCCATCAGTTCATCCAACAAATCATCAATCACAGGTATGGGAAACTTATCTTTAATTGTCAATTTAGTCGCCTGTAATCCACACAAAAATGCCAGAAACGATCTTTTTCCAAGACTAACAGCATTGAAGAATCAAAGGGGCTTCTACTAGGTTGAATGTACCGAGCAAATAACATCTTTTGCACTAGCTTATCCATTTTTGTCTTCTGGGGTAAAGAGTACATGTGTGGCCTGCGATTAACTGGTTTAGAATTTGTTAGGAGTGGTATGCTATGTTGCAACTTTTGGAAGGAGGCAATGAAGTAAGTTTTCCAAATACATTTGAAGATTCCTTCAGCACAGGAGCTAAGAAAGGTGTAACGTCACTAAGTATTGTAGTTCAACAGTCATGGTAAACAATTGTCCAACCCAAGTTGACATCTTCTGCCTAAAATATTTATTGAATGCATTTGCCAGACATTGTTTTGCAACATCCTAACTCCTGAACTCCTTGTAAAGATACCTCCTCCCTGTTCGAATCAAAGAAGAGCCGCAACTAAAAAAAATCAAACTTCATAGTACTAATATTTCTCTACAAATCCAGACCAAGCACCATGTCATTAGTACCTAGGCTGAGTATCCTTACATCATAAGAAAAATGGTAACCCTACATCTCCCATTTGAAATCCCTAAAAACCTTAGTGTTCATCAACATGGTTCATCCACTCCAATGGAGCTACAACTCCCAGTTCATCTACTAGTAAGTAGTAACACATTAAGTTGTTTCTTAGGTTCACAAATATGGCCATAAAAATAACGATCGCCACATTGTTACCATTCCTAACTCTATTGTTGATGTTATTGTTTATCCTCCCTACATGTTGAGAATGAGCAGGTTCCCATCTCTTGTTAGGAACTACTAGTCCTGACCCTGCAATAGGAATATGATGATTCACAGCTCCCCTTAGCTTTCATCTGCGAGCCACATTTGATACCTCTTCTAAATTGGACAACTAAAAGGCATGAGCTAGGGATTAAGGTTGCCACATAGTGATTACATGTATGAGCTCTCCCTCTAATCCACTGATGTAACTGGAGATGAAGTACTCACCATTGAACGTTGGATTAGAGTGCAACATTTGAAATTTCAATTCCTCAAAGTTCTCCTTGGTAAGGATCATGCTGTCTTATCTTGTTAAACTCCCCAAATACACCACAATAAGACCAATCGCTAAACCGCATGTACAAAGCAACAAAAAAAATTTCCCAAACCAACTCTCTTTGGCCTGCCACATAGCCTTTAATTCATATAACAGGCATATGCTTGAAGTATATGACAGCTAAACGAACATGTTGCTCAATAGGAATATTATAGATCTCAAATACTTTCTCGCACTTCCTAGTCCATTCAGCATTCTCTAGGATTTTCGCCGGAAAGTAAGGAAAATCCAAACGAGGAATTTGATATTTAGTGTTACTGCAAAGAGGCATGAATTGCTCCAAGTCCGCAAATCGATTCAACTGTTCTGGAACCCGTGGCAACAGATTGATCTCCGGAGCGATCTCTATGGCCGTTGGACATGCCACTTGATGCACCAGAAGTTGTAGAATAGAATACCTCAATCGTCGTTCTAATTTATCAGCATCTCTACCGCACCTGCAACGAGGATCGTCGGTCGATGTTGGCCTATGGCATGCAGGCAACACAAAACTTCTTCGAATCGAACATCAAGTCCCTAAATACGAGGGTTGAGATTAGCCAGTTCCATGGAATGACAGTCCGCATGGTAGATAAGTCGCGCAATTGAGCTTCGGTCACTTTGAAATGCTCACTAGTTTTAGTCATGTGTTCATTCATAAGAGTAGTGTGATCATGCGAATTCTCGCTAATCTCGTGCAGATTTTTCAATGTTGTTGTGATGTGATTAGTGACTAAAACAAGCCGCCTATCTTCTGATTTGTAGCCATTCTGTCAATAGAATGCTCTAATACCACGTTGTAATGTCCAAGGATAAATTATCTATATCTTGATGATTAATTGGTGTTTGGCAACTAAGTAAATGAGAGAGATAGTAGAAGAAAATAGGAGAAAAGCCTCAAAAGTCATTGGAAGAAGAAGAAGAAGAAGAAGAGAGAGAGAGAGAGAGAAAGAAAAAGAAAAAGAAAAAGAGAGAAAAGAGTCATTTTATCTACTAAATATATAGGCAAAACATGGGTTGGATATGCAGGAATTTGAATTTCTAGCCCTCTGAGGACTTCATGGAAGGGCTAACCTGCCAATTCATGCCCAATTATGTGAAACTCTGTGTTTCCTTAAGTACCTCCACTGAATGTTATATTGGTCGAATGGGCCAGCTATGGGCCCAATCTTTAGCGGCTGAAGTAGTTTTGTTGACATGACCCCCGCAAGCGAGGAGAACCCATCTCCACGTCGTCATCGTTGACAGGCAGTCCCTTCGGTCGGGATTTACAGTCTCCGAGTCGCAGCCAAAATCACATGTTTTCACCTTTGTTACATGAATTTCTAGGAAAAGCCATGCATGTGACCTTTGGATACGTTTCTCAAACGCTCTCGACTAGAGGACCTCCTTGATAGCGAGATCAACCCCAAATTACCTTACAACTACTCCTAAGAAATAACAAAGCAAGAAACTCCAATCTTCTCATCCTACTATGCCCGGGAATGCAATATCTAATAATACAAAACATAGAAGGTATTTTCCTTAGATTTCTAAAAGAGGAACATGTAGAAAGAATTCCCAACAAACTGGCGACGACAAGTCAACAATCTACATACTAAGGTGCTTGGTACAATGAGAAGCAATCTCAAGACTGAACTATCTTAACCAAAAAAACAAACAAGAAGACAGAGGTGATGATGCCTAGAGGTAGCGAGCCTGTTGAACAGGTACTCAAGCTCGAATGTGCGGAACTGACGAAGTAGTCTCTAGAAATGGAGACGTTTGGTGCCGATGAACCTAAAAGATGCCAAGGATAAGTTGGTTAGCGGGGCTCATTGAAAGCTATGGTAATTGACAAATGAAGAAAGTTTTGTTGTGTTGAAGGGTGAGCAAACTTACAGTTGAAGTGAGTCCATCCAATCTGCTGATGAATCAAATCGTAGACAAAAATCTTATCTTTCAGCACAAGCTCTGGACATTAGGACAAGATGAGCCAATTATCAAAATCGCAAAAATGAAGGATGACATTATTAAAAGGGTTAATATATTTGTATGGCCTGAACTTTGACCATAATAAACATTCTGGCCAATCTTTTCGATCTATAACATCTTGTCCCAAACTATACATCAAAGTAACGAAATTAGTCAAACCCGTTGTTTGACCGTTAAATTGAACGGTCAAACGCGTTGACTAACGGTCAACGCTCCACATCACTGCCGAATCAGTAACTTTCACTTAAATTTTGTTATAATTTCCACATATTATCATTTTTCTTTTTCATTTTGAACAAAACAAAAAATAAACCCTTCCACTTTCACTCCCCGCTGCCGAACAGTCCCACGACCATCGTCCAACGGTGAAGCCCACACTCTCAGGTGCTCTCCCTTCACACTCTCAAATCTCTTTCCCTTCCCTTCCCTTCCGTTCCTGAAATGGAAACTTTGACAATCGTTCTCATCCTCTCAATCTGCCTCCTCGACGACCTCTACTGATTCGTCTGCCTTCTGAGCTGCGTCGAGCAGAAGGGCAAGCACGCCGCCCAGCTCTCCAGCGGCTCAATCTCCGCCGAGAAAGTCCAGGACAAGTACTAGCAGTACTGGTCCTTCTTCCGCACCCCGTCCCAGATCGAAACCGTCGAGAAAGTCCTCGCCTTTGTGAAAACCGGTTGAAGGCCTATTAAGTTTTAGGTTTTTGGTTTGCAGAAACGGGAAACAAGAAGAAGACGAGTGGAAGGAATTGGAATAAAAAACACCAAAGGGTTCGTTTGGATGGACCAATCTAGAAATGAGTCAATTTGATCAATTGTCTCGTTTTATAAACGAGGCGATTAAAACGAGTCAATTCTAATTACCTGCACCCACCCCAGGTAATTGAAATTGACTCAAAACGGATCAATTCAAAATACCTCAGGCAGATTGATTCATCCAAATTTTTTGCTGACAAACGAGACAATTTGGTACAATTGTCTCAAAACGAGACAGTTGTGTCTTTTTTTTTTTTTTGGCAAAAGATAGCTTGTATTACCAAGAAGCAAAGATCACAAACGATTACAACTCCGATCGGAGCCAAGCGCAAAAATTAAACCCCCCGAGACAAGTAGGATACAAAGAAAGGGCCTTCCTAGCCACTCTATGGGCTACCCTATTGTGATCCCTACCTACGAATCGGAGAACATCCCCTCCCACCGCATCCAACACATTCTGGACTTCCCGCAACACCGCTCCTCCAAAACAATCCCCCGTACTGCCGGCCATCACCTTGTCTATAACCACCTTCGCGTCACCCTGGTAGCAGACCCCGAGACAGTTGTGTCAAATTGATCTGTTACAATTCCTCATCCAAACGAACCAAAATTGTTTTTCCTCCCTCTTTATTGTCGTCCACCACATATAGTGGGCTTAAAACACAAGGGCCCAACTAAAGTGAAGAAACCCTATTGGTTAACAAGCTAAAAACGAAAACAGAAGAAAACGATGGGGCTGGGGCCAATCGTTCTACTTCTCGCCTTCCTTGCCAGGGAAATCTCACCGCGACACCACCCGCCTCAACGAGGAATTCGCCGTTGATCAGCTCAAAGTTAAGCCCGGAAGCCAAACCCTCGATGCTAGGTGCGTAGTCGGCGGCCCAATGACCGCGATTGCGGGTTGCGGCGCATTCCGGCGCGAACGTGGTCGGGATCTCGATCAATGATCAATGAGTATCAGGTGAAAAGGGCTCGCGGCCACAACAGGAAGGCCGGGCTTGGAAGTGATGGGCTTCACCGTTGGACGGTGGTCGCGGCACTGTTCGGCAGCGGGGAGTGAAGGCGATTGGAGAGGAGACGGCAGCGGGGAGTGCAAGTGGAAGGTTTTTTTTGTTTTTATTATTATTATTATTATTAATTTTTTTTTTTTGGTTCAAAATGAAAAAGAAAAATGATAATAGGTGGAAATTATAAAACGCTAACCTCCTAAAATTGTAAGTTGTGGACTCTTCCCAAAACCCAGGCACCAGATCCCAGCAGGGTCCAACTACAAGCAAGTATTGCCAATGGTCAGACATTGTGGAAGCTGAATTCAAAGGATAAGGTAGAAGAACCAGATAGCTAAGGTTGCGCATGAAAAACTTACAAAAGACTGGACAAGGTACTCCTCTGGTTTCAATACCAGAGAAGCGCCACCATCAAAATGCAAGCTCACTGCAGGAAACAGCTGGGATACAGATACACTGCACATGGAGGTCAACCGAGGTCATAGTGAAGTAACAAGCAACAATCTGTTTGAATTTTCCCCTAACACATACATTGTCAAAACCAATCTGTAACTAGTAGAATTTCCGAACCTCGAATTGACGAGGTAACACTGAAACCCTCTTCTCGTTGTAGGAGCTGCGGATTGGGAAACTACAGTTGTGACCTAAATTTTCAACATGTCATCATTAGCTTTGAGCTAAGCAACCTTATCTAATCACTTCCTCTCAACTCAAATGTTTACTTACAGCGTTGACAAATTGGTCATGAGCCTCGTCGACTAGATAGGCATGAGTCGTGCCTGTGTCAAAGAATGTCCCGCCATTGGTAAACACCACCGGATCAACACCCAGCATATCTCCACTGACTGCAATACTCTGTAGATGTACATAGTACAGATGCCTGCAAATTTAAAGAGCAACCTGTGTTAATATTTCTAACATCCACTCTCACTTGAACAGCAATGGCCCAAAAGGTTTCTACTAAATTGCAAGTTCTTTTTCATGCCAACACTTAGATATAGCACAACTGAAAGATAATGAGCAGTCACAAACATCACAATTATAAACTGTAGAAAGTTTGGGTCTACAAGATACAGGAGCATCAAGAGTTAAACAAAGATATATATACTCACTTCGATGGAGTGAGTGGCGTATATACAATCCCTTGCTCCAAAATTTTGCCGAGGACAAAAATACCACCTCCCATTCCATCTCCCTTTAAGCAATGGGAGAAGACTCGGGGTGTTAGCCCTGTGGAAGATAACTGGGAATAAACGGAGAGATCTCCACGCCCAAAACCCAAAATTCCGTCAACTGCGTGCTGGGTGCTGGTCAAGCGTCCCGACTGGTAGGTACTTACCCTGCAATGCATCCAACACGCACATAGAATAAGCTCCGATCGTGTGGGAAAATTTTTTTTGCAAATACACTCTGCCACAACAACTTACCCAAACACAATCGGGGCCGACCGGGACTTTGGAATCGTGGAACCCGGCAAAATTGAATCGAAACGAAGCTCGTCTTTCACATAAACCCCAGATGTTACACTCAAATCCAGATACTGGAACGTGTAGCCACATTGGCCGTTACTTGAACACCAAGATGTGCCGCTTTTACTGAATGGAGCACAATCCTTGTGTGAACAAGGAATGACCCTTGCGGTTGAGGATGCAGTGGCATCATAAAACGTAGGCTGGATCTGCATCACAATACCAACAGAAGAAGAATGAATGAGTTCGATAAGAATGGGATGGATCTCGACCCTTATGTACAGCTATCGTGCAGTTCGTGTTAATGGCTCCCAGTCTTCCCTATGGAATAATAGAGAGAGAGAGAGAGAGAGAGAGAGAGAGAGAGAGAGAGAGAGAGAGAGAGATAGATAGCTCACTAGATTGCTGGAGCGTGGACAATTGACGCAGGTGTTGGACATCACCCACAAGACATCACTCCCAGTGTCGATCAGCACATTGAATTCCCTTGGTGGCGAACCCAGGTTTATTTTTGTGTAATACAGTCTGTCAAAAAAAACACAAGAGTAGCAACAACAAAAACAAAAAACAGTTAATCCCTGCTTCTGCTTGGAATCAACTAAGTACTGGTAGAGATGGGGAAGCAGGGGAAAAGGAAACAGAGGTAGGAGGAGGGAAGATTGAACAAAGGCAAAATATTAATTTTGCGTTTTATTACGAGAATCAGAAAACGACGGCGTTCTGGGTAAAACGCTCGTATTAGTGTGTGTATATTGTCCAATGCCCAGTCTTTTTGCCGCCAAATTTTAAAATTATATACTCCCTCTTTCTTACAGAACAGAAATATATTGTTTTTAAACTGCGGAAAAAGCAATTTTAAAGGGGGAAAAAAATAAAACAGGGGGAAACGGAATTACCCGAACAGATTGGCATCCGCTGAACCGTAAACGGGGAAGTGGACAACTCCATCGGCGGCGGTGGACCCTCGCAAGATCCTCGCATGCCTGGCTTGATCCCGAGCTGTGAGCTGCTCCATGGAAGTCGAGTTCGACGAGAAAGGCAAATTCCTCTCAAGGTGGAATACCGCAGCGCCATCGATCCCCAGCAGATAAACGGCGGCGAGCATCATCACCTCCGTGATCACACACACTGGCGAGGAAGGAGAGCTAGAAACTATCATTTTGATTAAAAGGAACAGAGGACTGTGGGGAAACAGGGGAAGATAGAGAAACAGAACAAAAACAGGGGAGAAGCCTCTCTTGAAACGTATGAACGATGCTGATGGTACTAACTAATCGAGAGTATGAATTGGCATCTGGGAATTCAAGATTGATCGTTATCTGCATCCTTTGTATACAGAGTTGGTGGATGAACACACTTAATGAGTGGGAGCCTGTCTGCTTTGAGACAGTCGCTGTTGGTTTGCTAAAATTAGGAGAATCAATCACTAGTAGCTGGCGGGAGTAGAGTAAGTAATTGGAAAAATCTAGTCAGGGATGGGGTAAGGTAACTACTACCCTCCATCGATTCAAGCCTGTAAATGGGCTGATCTTTTTACTACCCATCTGTGGTTTGGCAGAGACACAATTCAGGTATAGTTGAATCCTCATCCGTCCAAAATATGAATTCAACTCTTTTTTGTAGCTATGAACTCCTCTTTTGGGGGGCTTGGTGGCCTTCTGGGTATCTTTCATTTGTTTCCTTCCCGAGCTTGCATTTGCAGTTTTGCATGCGTGCAAAGTTACTACTCCGACCAGGTTAACAAAGCCACAGTGAACTAGCTTTTACCGCCTTCAGAATTACTCTTGGTGTGACTTAAGGTCTTGTTGTGATTATTATTGGGTTTGGTTTTGCTTTCTGCCCAAGTATTTAGTTCCTCCTATGGGGCTCAATAACCAATCCGTTGCTTGTCCTTTTTTTTTTTTTTTGGTCTTCTGTCTTCCATTTTCTTTTTCTTCATTAAATCACTTGCATGGCATGCATATGTCTACTCGTCGGCGGGGAGTCAAGGTGTACGCGGATGAGGAGGAAAACCCGCCCACGGTGTGGGTGAACAAGAGCCTTCGCCGACAGTCGAGTGACGCGGAAGGAAACACTTGCCCAGCTCTTCGTGAGCCAAGTAGGCAGATTGGTGGGCCCGTGCGGCGAATGGGACGGGAGGTGGAGTCGGGGATGCGCGCTGGTCAGGTGCTAGTCCGAGACGCGAACCCGGAAAGAAGGTTGGGGCGTGGCCCCTCGGAGGATAATGCGGTGGAGGCGAAGCATCGTGCAAGCCCTAAAGGCTTCGTCATTCCCAAGCCGGCTCGCACACCTCGCTTGCGTCGTCTTGTCGCTGCTGGCACCGCTGAGGCGGAGATGGGCAAGGCTGGGCAGGCCAACCCCCGTAATGGTGGGCAGCCAGGGGGAGTTCAAGCAGCTGCGCGGTCGGTGGAGAGTCTGTTGGCGGTGGACCGGGACGATGTGGGAGGCCGTAAGTTGGCCAAGAAAACCGTTAGGCGCGGTAAAAGAAAGGTGAAGCCAGTTTCTCTGGCCGAGGCTCAGTTTGCGGTTCGCCGAAGGAAGCTGCTGATGGAGGAATCTGAAGATGATGCTCCGCTGGTCACTGCTTTACCGAAAGGGAAGTTGGGGGGCAAGGTTATTGAGGCTGGGGCTCGCTGCCGTTCGGTGGGGGCTGCTGCTACCCATCTGGCTGACCCCCTGGAGAGTGACCAAAAAGGTTCCCTTGATCCGGTTGCCATTCCAGCAGTGGTAGAGGCAGCGAATGAGGAAGAGGCGGTGCAACAGGCAGCTCGGGTGCGCAAGGGGAAGATGGTGATGGTGGATGAGGACGCGGAGGGGTGGGAACAGTCGGGGGCGGATGATTCTGATGCCACCTTGTCCGACGGTGCGGATGGCCAGTTTGAAATTCGGGCTCGGGTTCCTCTCTCGAGTGCTTCGGGTGGCAAACAGGTTGAGCCAGGCCGTGTTCGACAAATGGTGCGAGTGCTGGAGGCGGGTAAGGACATGGATGGATCGATGGAAGGCAAAGGGGAGTTGAAGCCCTCTCTGCTTAATGAGTATGGCTCTAATGCCGAGATGCTCGGTTTGGGGAGTCGGAAGCGTTCTCTGGAGGATATTATAGGGGAGGTGGAAGAGAATCCAACATTGAAAAAACAATTCGTGGAGGAAATGGATGAGGATATGCTGAAATCGGTGGAGGTAGCCAGCCGGGAATGGCCCCAGTCGGATAAATGAAGGTGTTGGCTTGGAATGTGAGAGGAATTGGACCGTCCCTCACGTTTCAAACGGCTGTAGGTCTGGTTCGATCTAATAATCCGGATCTTGTTTTCTTTTCGGAAACTCGATCTCGTAGGCGTGTCGTCTCCCGTCGTTTGAGGGGTTTAGGTTTTCAGGTTTCTGATTGTTTTTTTGTTGATGCGGTTGATGCATCGGGTGGTCTAGTTGTAGCTTGGTCCCCCGGAGTTGATGCTTCGGTGTTTTTTCATTCAGATTTTGCCATTTGTGTTCGGATTAATGAAAGCAATTTTTCTTATGTGGTGGTTGGCGTGTACATTAGTTGTGTTGATTCGATTCGGACTTCCCAACTCGCCTCCCTGCGCCAATTTTGTGAGGGTATCCAACTGCCGTTTGTGGTGATTGGTGATTTTAATTCTACCCTTCATGCTGGGGAAAAGGATGGGGGGAATTCTTGGAGTGTGGGGCAATCTTTGGCTCTCCAATCGTTTATTCAGGATCTGGGACTTCATGACCCGGGCTTCCAGGGTGATCTTTTCACATGGACCAATAAACGTATGGGCCAGGCTTGTATTCGAGAGAGACTGGATCGGGCCCTTTGTTCTCAGGCTTGGATTGACCGGTTCCCTGAGACCATTGTTAAACATTTTACGGATCAAGGGTCGGATCATAGGGCGTTGCTGTTATCAGATAAATCGTATCCCCGGTTGTGTCGCCCTCTGTTTCGCTTTGATGCCCGTTGGGCCGACAATCCTGAAGTCAGGGCCATGGTGAGGTATGTTTGGTTGGAGGAGGAGGTGGAGGGGTCCCCAATGTTCAAGCTTTGGACCCGGTTGAAGAGGCTACGTCATCTTTTGTATGATTGGAGTAGAGCTGGGACGACTAATTCGCTTAGGAATATCCGAACCCTCCAATTGGAGATTGACCGTGTTAAACAGGTTTCTCCAGTCAATTGGGATGAGGTTCGGGTTCTGGAAAGTGAACTGAGTCGGCAGTGGGACGCAGAAGAGTTGTATTGGCAACAGAAGTCGAGGGTGCGTTGGTTGAAGAGAGGTGACCAAAACACTTCGTATTTCCACACGGTTACTCGGGCTAGACGGAAACGAAACTTTGTGGAGGGGCTTCGTAATGAGAATGGGGAGTGGATCACAGATGAGAAAGGGAAGGCGGAACTGGCCACTGGTTTTTATCAAACTCTTTTCTCCTCTGAAAATCAGGTTCCTGATATGCGGGCGAGGGTTGATGCCCTTCCGCTGAATCGGAAAGTCACTGATGATATGAATGCTCATCTCATTGCGCCGGTCCTCCCTGATGAGGTTCGGCGAATAGTTTTTTCCATGGGGTCTAAGCAGGCCCCGGGATCGGATGGGTTCACCGGGAAATTCTTTAAATCCTTCTGGGATATTGTGGGTCAGTCGGTGGTGGAGGCTGTTTGTTCCTTTTTCCAATCAGGCAAACTCCTTCGCAGTTTTAATCATACGTGGCTCACTCTGATCCCGAAGGTTGATAATGTGGAGACCATTCGGCAATTGCGGCCTATTAGCTTGTGCCAGTTCGTGTATAAAGTGATTACCAAGATTATGACTGAGAGACTGGCCCCGTTCCTGCCCATGATTGTGTCAGAAGGGCAGAATGCGTTTATACGGGAACGTCAGATTGTGGAGAATGTGTTGCTGGGGCATGAGCTAATGCATTACCTAAAAATCAAAAATCGGGGGAAGAAAGGATACATGGCTCTAAAGGTTGACATGGAAAAGGCCTATGACAGAGTCGAATGGTCCTTTCTTCTTACGGTTCTGGCCAAACTGGGTTTCAGCCTGACCTGGATTGGTTGGATTAGGGAATGCCTTAGCTCGGTTTCATTTTCCATTCTTATGAATGGGTCCCCGGCGGGTTTCTTCAGTGCTTCTCGTGGTTTGCGGCAAGGTGACCCCCTTTCTCCTCTTCTCTTTGTGCTCTGCACAGAGGGGTTTGCGGCTCTCCTTCGCAAGGCGATAGCGGAAAAGAAATTAGAAGGTGTGAAAGTGGCTCCTCGTGCTCCTCGTATTTCTCATCTGTTTTTTGCGGATGATTCTTTTTTATTCCTACGAGGTTCGCTTGAGCAATGCGAGAATCTGATTGTGGTCCTTAATGAATACGAGGAGCTTAGTGGGCAGAGGGTTAATTTGGGGAAGTCGGCTGTATGCTTCAGTAAGAACATCACCAGTGCTGATCAGGAGTTTCTCGCCCAGGTTCTGGGGGTGGGGGCCGTGGGCGTCCATGATAAGTATCTGGGCCTTCCGTCCCTCATTTCCCGTTCTAAGATGGACACTTTTCGGTTTGTGGAGGAACGGTTGGTAGCCCGACTTCAGGGATGGGCTCGGCGTTCGTTGTCTATGGCGGCTAGAGAAACTCTAATCAAATCTGTGGCGTCTGCCCTTCCCCTGCATGTGATGTCCTGCTTTAAGCTGCCATTATCACTTTGTCGCACCTTGGATAGGCTGGTTGCGCGATTTTGGTGGGGTGTGGAGGATGGGCATTCTCGTGTTCGGTGGATGTCGTGGCGTAGGATGTGTCAGAGCAAGCATGAGGGTGGGATGGGATTTCGCCGATTTGAGTTCTTCAATCAAGCGCTTCTTGCTAAGGTGGGCTGGCGGATTCTTACTGATCCCCACTCTCTCCTGGCACAGGTGTATAAAGGAAAGTATTTTCCGTTTGGGGACTTCTTTTCTGCGACTCCCCGCTCTCGGCCTTCTTGGGGGTGGCAGAGTATATTGTATGGGCGATCCTTGTTGGTTCAGGGGGTTAGATGGCAGATTGGAGATGGGAGAGGGGTGGCTGCTTTGACTGATAATTGGATTCCCTCTTTTCACCCTAATCCCCCCAAGTTCAATCCTCGGATTCTGC